TAGGTTCCCTAACCCTTGGGTCCTATAGTAACATATTTATCCATCAAACCGGGGCACTTTATATTTAGGTATCGCATGGTACTCCGACAATACGCCTTCTCTCGATTTGTTTACCTTCTCCTTTCTTTCCTTGGTCTTGTCTTCTCTTTTGGGAGCCAGTGGAAGTTTCGAGAAAAACTTCTACAAAAAAAAATCCGCTTTTCGCTTTTGTCTGTGCGCTTCCGGTTGTCTGAGGGAAATACAGCAGTTGACAAGGTTAACTCCAGAGCCAACAAAAAATAATTCGCACAATAGTAATCGAATGCGCTGTACGATTGTGATCCCACTCGTTTACTACGTAAGACGCTCAGATAGTCGTCGTTCCACGACACGCAGGAATCACATCTGTTCTTGTTCAGATTCTATCGGGTCCCATCCCCTCACGTAGTAGAGTGGCTGCATGATGCACTAGTGGGGGGTCACTGTTCAAGTCACTTGTTTTTCGCCTATTTTGCGTTCATGTATCAAGACAGAATAGCGAGAATGGTTTTTAAAAATGGCTCGATTTCAGTGGAGAAGTGAGCCTAGTAGCTCCTCCCGCAATCCCAAGTTGAGACCGCTAATGTAGGCAAATATCTACAGCACTAGAATCATTCCGACAAACTTGTTGGGTGTCAGTAGCAATCTCTGGAGCTTTGTTGCCATGTGAAGTATGCTCCTCGACAAAATGCGTATAGCTATCTCCTTCAAGAAACGTTTTATTCACGAAGTTACCCCGGAAACCCGGAAACAATTCCAGGACAGGCATTTGGTTTGAAAGATCACGGTGATAGTTGAGCTTTCCATGAATTCTGAATGTTGAAGCATGTAGAACTGAAGGCCAGAAATCCGTAGAAGATCTGGCATTAGATAATTGCGGTGGAGTTCGTGATATGAATCACTGAAGTGCAGATGTGTCAAGAGCACCAAGTGCAGCTGTAAGGAATTTCCTGCCAAATCCTACTTCCTTTCTACATTTTGAGAAGAAAGGTCTCCTGATTCCTCTACATTAATGCTGATATGCACACCGTAAGCATTATATTTTGCACAACATACAGCTTGGGTTAGAGTTATTTAGCTGAGATCAGATCAGCCACATTTTTATGGGACGGTGGAAATGCTAAGTTAACAGCTAGTTGTGTTTGTATTTCCACTGAGGACCGAATGTATGGCGCAACCCAAAGATAATGTAAGGAAATGTTTGAGTCATTCAGCAAAGCCTTTCTTTTCAAGCCATGTGCCAGCTCCGTTTCCTTCGATGCTCTACCACAACTACTGTGTCCACTACGATGTTATTGAACCGATGTTTACCGATTTCGATAGAATCGCTCAGATACTTCACGTTAGTGCGGATGTTCTTGATCGGCGTATTGTTCAGCAGGTAATCTAATCGATTTCTGTAACCATATCAAACTTTTCTGATTTAATTTACT